AATATTGAACCAATTTACTCTCGCCCAATAGTTGTGACTGAGGCTTAATATTAGAGTTAATGTGGGACTTTCCTGTGGAAAGGGACCCGAGTTTACGGTTCTTTTCGCTTTTGAACATTCGAGCGCATGAAAACGATGAAGGTCGATCAGAATACAGCCAGAGGGAGTAGACTAAATTTAAAACAAACAGCTATAATTTTAAGAAGGACAGCTAAGTTACAGTTTTCAATTACGTATTTAATTATGCTGGAAGGGACCACGTAAACAAACAAGAATATATTCAGCTCACATCTAAGATAAGAGACCGTAAAAAATTCGCTGTCATCGACATGATAACATTTCAACGAATTTTTTCCCCGATGAAACTTTGTAAAGAAGCCGTTTTTACCTCACCACCCGGTAACCTTGGAGGAACAACTGAAGAACAATCAAAGTTTGCCGTGCCGTAAGTAAAGCCGAGTGGAAATCACCATCAGTAGATTTGTCTTTATCCTTAGCAGAACACCACGACAAAATCTTGTAGTCTCAGCAATTACCGGAAGTTTAGATTTTGTCACATTTGCTTAGTAGGTCTCATCAATAGATTTACCCGTCGATAAACAACCAAGTTTAAATGAGTTTCCAGGAACATACGGTGTAAACAATCGACTGATTTCTTTTGGCAGCACTATTTTTTATTACTTCTTGTAGTTTTAGATGTTCAAAAGGCTTACAAAGTTCAGTTTATCGATGAATGTCACGGAAGGCGAAGGTGAAGGCGAAGATTTAAATATTCTGAACAGTGCATTCCGAAGCATTTGCATTTTCTTTCGGGCCGTACGTGTTTGAATTATTTTGAAGCACTTTTCTGTCTTTCCTGTATGCACTCCAATTGACGTTTTGCCTTGAAAAACAGTCAAAATTCCTCTCATTAAGTTGTGACACCATTAAACTGAAATACTTTTTTAAGGCTCTGGGGATCACTTTTCCCGAAAATAAATGTGTTTCTTGACAGGGTACGCGATACAGTGATATTGGTCACTGATTGCGTAGTTTTACCGTGGGTTTGAGTTGATAAAAGAGCAGGTCGACGAACGCGCGCTTCGCCGGATGTCCGAGATTACTCCCGATGCTGGTTCACAATCAAATGAGGACTGTATATTTCCAAGCTATAAAATGCGTTTATTCGTAGATTCACAGTTCTTTACAATTCCGTTCCGTTCTGATACGTTCTAATTCGTTCTAATTCGTTCTGCCTTAACCTCTTACAACAATGTCTTATATACACAAGGAAATACAAGAATGTTGCGGTTGTAACCGCTAAACTTAGTCTTAACTAGTTACAAGCTTTCTTTGTTTGTTATAATCAAGTACGTGATCTACTTTTAGCCCATATGTGCTACATGCAAATGTCACGCGCAATATGTGACATTACCGCGAGAATTAACGTTGCGTGATACAAAGATTAAAATAAACTATTATTATCGGACACCGGATGCGAATTGACGACTTGCGCTTGAATACATTTTTTGTTTCTTCAGTTTGTAAACCTCGGCGTAGCCGTATTGACCTCGCTATCACTCGGTTAATACGGCAAGGCCCAAGTGTGAGATTTTCCCGTAACGACCTCACTCTCTCTTATTAAGGAGCTTTTATTTTTTTTTCTCAGTTCGTGAGCAGGCACTACTCTACAAATCCCGCAACCTGATTGGTTTCGTGTGTAGGCAGTATTCTCTCATCTGGCCCGCTCTCAACGGGCAGTATCCGTTTCGTGTTGGGTCGCTTTGCAGAACATCTCTAATTTCGTTGGAATTTTTCAGAAGTATATCTTGTTTTGCCGGCTTGGCAGCATTTTTAACCAAAGACTTCGGTCACAACCATTAGCCGATAATTAGCACTAATTCTTTCTCTTCTCTCTCTTTCTCCCTCTCCTCCCCTTCTCTCTCTCCCCTCTCTCTCCCTCTCTCGCTCTCTAGAGGTATGTTAATAATAATAATAATAATAATTAATAATAATAATATTAATAATAATTCATAATAATAACGGTTTATTGCAGTTTATCTGCAGAGTAGCTATACATCTGCATAAAAAAGAATCGAAAAAGATAAAAATAACTAACGAAATATGAACCAACATAATAAACAAATAAATCAACTGGATAAAATTTATGTACAGTAAGTATATTCTAGTCTCTAATCACTACTAATGCGAATCGAAGCCTTAGCATTCTCTCTTGAATGTATTAAAATCTGAACAAAGTCTTAGATGTGCAGGCAGCTTATTGAAGAGATTAGCCGCTGAGTCTTGGGATTTTCCTTTGACAAGTGAGATTTGAAGGAGGGGAGCATTAATTGATCGCAGGTGTCTCTGCGAAAAGTGTCTCGTTAGTTTAAGATTTTCAGGCCACGAGCTACTGAACAGGGCTCGGTGCACAAGCTTGAGAATGTTGAGCTCAGTCAGTTCTCTAACGTTGGTAGCCAACCGAGTCTCATTACATCACTCTCTTTACAAAAACGGTTCAGGATAAAGGCTGATAGTTTCGAAAGAAACTGTTTGGGGCTGCGTCGGTGGGAGTAACGAAATAATTTGGATATATCAACAAAGTTGAAATGGTAAATTGGCCACCGTAATGATTACAAAAGCTGACGTTTCGAGCGTTAGCCCTTCGTCGGAGCGAATAGAGGAATTGTGGGTTGTGTGTGCTTTTAAAGGCAGAAAATGGAGCTACGTTATTGGTGGGTGCATGGCAACGAGAAAAACATGAATAAATTAGTGGAATGAAAAGCGTTCATTGATCCCTGTGGGATTTAGACTGCCGGTTTGAAAGATGAGCTTTTGTTCAAGATTTTTACGGCTTTCCGTGCCACCTAAGTGCAAGGAAAGACCGCAGATTGCCATATGTTGCTTAGAATGATTAGGTAAATTAAAATGTCTAGCGACTGGTTTCGATGTGTCCTTGTCATTCCTTTCCACGTCTCGAAGGTGTTCTCGGAATCGGTCACCTAGTCTTCTGCCTGTTTCGCCGATGTATATCTTTTTGCAATAAGTGCAAGTTATGCAATAGATTACATTGGCGGAGGTGCACGTGAAGTGATCGGTGATCTTAATGGATCGTTTAGGTCCCGATATTTTATCAGTGTTGTGAATGAAAGGACACGTTTTGCATCGTGCACGAGCGCATTTAAAAGTGCCTGGTTGGTCATTAGTCTGAAAAGAACTTCTGACCAAAAAATTGCCTATGTTTTTGTCGCGTTTGAATGAAATGAGCGGAGGCTGCGAAAAGATAGTGCTTGTCTCTGGATCGTTTTGAAGTAATTTAAAGTTTTTAAGAATGATGGATTTAACTGAGTGGTTGTGAGGGTGAAACGTGAGAGTGAATGGAATGCGGTCGGAATCTTCCTTATGCGACGTTTGTAGTGCTGAATGTCGATCAATAAGTTGGGCGCGGTGGTAACCCGCTTGAACGACAGAAACAGGGTAACCACGTTTATCGAAAAACTGGCACATTGACTCTGATTTGTGGTGGAAATCAGAGTCATCACTACATAAACGACGAAGTCTTAGAAACTGAGAAAAAGGAATGGAATTCTTAACGTGAGATGGATGCGAAGACGAATATAACAAGTAATTATGCGAGTCTGTAGGTTTGTAATACACACTAGTGCATAAACCGTTACCTTCAATTGAAACTTTGA